CTCCTGTTAGACAGGTGGACCCTGATTCCCTACCAGTTCTGCCTGTGCTCGCATGCTGGGGACTTAGACCCTTGATGAATTTGTCTTCCCAATTCTTTTGGTAACACACTTAAATGGTGCTGAATTTTATGTCAGGCACTTTGCTTTATATTTTCTCATTTAGTTCTTTGGCTCCTGTTATTCAAGTGTGAACAACTTCCTTGCACCAGACATGATGCAAGGATACTATTAATTTTGAAATACCCACTCTGTCTGATAAAGTACTAGAGATACAGTTATTCAATAATGTAAGATAAAGTAAATCAAGCAATATAATCAGAAAGCGAATACTTTACATTTATAGATGTTTTCTTCATAAAAACTAAAAGTTCTAATCAGAAATCATAGTCTCACATACACAGTGTTTATACAATCTATCCTGAGACAACCTGTCTCTTGTATTGAGAAAGGATATCCAATTCCAATTAAACAAATCTTCACGTAATAACTTTAGGATGCACACAGACTTACTTTCCATGGCCCAGGGGAATGAGCACTTACTTTCAACATTTAATCAATGTGTTGTATCCCCTGTCCCGGAAAGTCCTTCCCTGATTTATTTTTTAGTGATCACCTCTTCAAGGAAGCCCCCCTAGACTGCGTGAGAGAGAATCCTACTCTTCTTTGGTTCTCTCTGTACCACTTTGATGCTTGGATAACTGTCATTCTTGAACTGAAATATTTACATGTCATTTGCCTTAATAACCGGTGATACCTTTGAGGGCAGGGACAGTGTGTAATTCTATTGTTTGGTACTCCTAGTCTGGCACGGAGCCTACCGTGTGATAGCGATGCAGTCGTGCAGCGCATGTGTGTGGAACCTTACTCACACTCCTTTTAGTCCAGTGGTTAAGAGCACGGGCTCTCGCACTAGGAAGCCTGAGTTTAATTCTGGCCCAATCACTTGCAATGGGACCTCTGTGCCTTAGTTTCTTTAAATTCAAAATGGGAATAATAAGAGTAGTACTTCATAAATTTGTTATGATCAGTAAAGGAGTGAAATTACACACACACACACACACACACATAAATGCATGCATATAACTCACAGAGGACATGGGAAAAGCTCTTGAAACATAAATCAATGATTAATTTTATTCAATTAGACACAGGAATCTTGCAATTCTATGATATCATAATCACCTTACACTTGTAAATAATTAGGAATGATTCTTCACAGATTAGTGTAGCCTTCTCAATAATGCCCTCATTTACAAGTGAGGAGATTACCACTGCTGGAATATCATGGAGTCAGTCGGTCTGTGAGTGAGGGACCAAACTCACAGTATGTCATCCAGCCCTTTAAACCTACACAAGCTAAAACCTCCTTCACATTATAAAGCCTAGCTCTTACGTTTACCCACAGCTTCATCAATTCATATATTTACATTCCTGGATCAGTAGCCTTTTCTTCACATTCCCTTTCCTTCACGACTTCACTTTTCAATCTAATTCAGCTACCAATTAGCAAATAGGTTTTAGCCCTGTGCTCGACTGCTTGAAGGCATTTACCAGTAGGAGCACTGAGTCACTGCTTGGAATGTCACTACCTGTTTATGTCACTCTCCTAGTTAAAAAATACATATGTAAAAAAGTTATTCCTACTTTCATCATGAACTAATAGTGTGGTAAAGGTTATTTTAAAGTATCCATATTATTTATAATGGAAATATTCTAAAGATAAGGATATATAATTAAAGAGCCCAGTAAATACATATATGTAAATTATATATAATTGAAAAGCATGCTACATGCTCTTCATAGTAAATATATATGTGTGTATGTATAAAATTTACTATGCTTTTCAATTTGCTAAATACATTTTACTTGACTTTGAACAGATTCAAATATACTCCTTTGAGCAAACCTGAGCTATAAAAAAAAGAGAACAACTATGTGCTTGAAATCTCTCATTCTAAAAAGAGCTGGTTAAACTTTGTTTCCAAGGGTTTCATATTCTCCTGGTTTCCTGTCATCTGTACGGTGGAGGAGAGGAATCTGTCACCCAGGGTGAAGGCAGTGGACCCCAAGTAGCTCACTGTAAGAGAAGCCCTCAACTAAAGTTTTTCTTTACATTAAACGTTGTGTATATATTCTATTCCATAGAATACATAGCTTATATTAATTAATATATAAGTAATACCGTTGTCCTCCTTCAAATGTTTGGTCAACTGACATTATTAGAAAATATGTCTTCATTATCTGCGCTCTTGAAGGGCCTCCTGCAAAGCCTCTTCAGTTTAGAAATACTAATTTCATAACAAGGACATTTAAATCAACCACTGTAGTGTTTCTTAAAATTGAATCAATACTAGATAGTTTGTTTTTCTTAGATGATGGGCTTGGGGAAGAGAGAGTTTAGAAAAAAATTTAAAGGTTTATTTATTTTTAGAGAGGGAAAGGGAGGGAGAAAGAGAGGGAGAAAAGCATCAATGTGTAGCTGTTCCTCACACGCCCCCCACAGGGGACCTGGCCTGAAACCCAGGCATGTGCCCTGACTGGGAATTGAACTGGCGACCCTTTGGTTCATAGGCCAGCATTCAATCTACTGAGCTATACCAGCTGGGGCAGGAAAAAAATTTTTAAAATATTGTAAGAATTTGTAGACATTAAAAATGTGGTGTCACTGAAAGAAAGGGCTAAAAATTCAGATATGTGAAAATACTGAGCTTGCTTAAAGTGGGACATCCAAGAGGAGCTTTTTTACAGGACATTTAAATTAGGGAATATTTTTGTGTGTGAGGAGGAATTCAAAATGCAGATTTGATGGTAATTTGAAGAAGTAGAAGCAATGGGAAAATAAGATTTGTTAGAAATTCTGAATTTAGTGAATCTTCACAGGTCAGAGGAAATATAATCACTGATGGGGCGGGGGGGAATCACTTGTAGAAGCCAGAAGAGGGAGAAAAACCAGGCCACTGCACTGAGTCAAAGAACAGTGATGCCTGAGGCTTGACACCACTTGTCACTTGAGAAAGATCATGAAGAATGAGGAGAGGTTATCAAATAAAAGGTAAAATGCCGATGTAGAAAGAGAAACGTAAAATTTCATACGTGGAACATTCACTGGAGGCCATCAGTCCAACACCACCCATTACATGAGCAAACTTACATAATAACAAAAAAGAAAAGGGTTCCAGAAAAATAAAGTCAAATTCCATTCACTGAGTCACTATGGAGAAAACAGTCTTGTTTTCTTGCCTTTGTAATCTAACATACTTTTTGTTCCTGCACAGTGTAACCTAATCTCCTAAAGGAGGGCATTCCATGCAAGTTACTAACAATACAACTTTTGGGAAGGTAGGTGTTTGAAATTTAACACTGAACGGAATAAAATTTAAATAAGTAAAGCCACGGGGCTGGGTACTTCAATGATAAACCTTTGAACTCACTACTTACAAAGCTGTGCCACAAGTATACCTTCTATCTAAAGTTACTGTTGTATTTTTATTCTAAAAAACCATAATTCCACTCAACTCATGACTGACAGAGGAAGACCTAACTAGAGGAGAAAAACAAAAAAAGAGAGTGTAGAAAGTCGGAGGAAGAAACACCCCGTCTCCTAAACCTGCAGATTCTTGCACAGGAAACACTGGTTTTCTAAAATGACCTCAAAGAACATTTCCACTTCATATGCATAATGAGGGATTTTGACATCTGATGGCCGAAGGCTATCCTATCCACTCCCCACACTGTAAAGCATCTTTACATCGACACCAAAAACCCAGAAGTGCCACTATAAAAAAATAAAGCAAAGCAAATAAAATGATGAAAAAATGCCTCCTATTTCTAAGGAAGAAACCTGACCTTGAGGAAGACAAATGATTCTCCAGGTCAGTGAACACCTCACCCTAGTGGCATGGCATAGAGGCAGATCTGTCACAGAGATGTCAACTAGCTTTGCTCTAAACCTCTGATGTTCAGAAAGAAAAACCTCTGTTTAGGTAAACAGCTGCATGCACTAGTTCAATTGTTTGAATGGCTCAGAATTTCCTGCCTCTAATTTATTTGTCAATTTGTCCAGTAGCATGCATAATTTTAAATAGGTAGGATACCAAGTCAACTTATAAAAGGAATTTCATGGAAATTTCATGGTGTAAGTAAATGTTGCAACAAGACTTTTGCTGTTAAAGAACAAAAATGGTACTAATGGTTACAACAGGAAAACAAGTGCTGACAATCAAAATGAAGTCAATATTTCTCTTACCTTTCACTTTCCACAGCACTGGGCACAGTACTGAATTGCTAATATGTCTGAGCAAATGTTATATAATCTTATTCATTTTTAAATATTCTTAATACAGAAATAACCCTCCTTTCTGTTTGCTTTTTTCCTAAATACCTTGAGGATATAAAGCTTTTAAGATTTATAAACAGTAGAAAAATATCTGAAACCCAAATTTGTATTAAAACATTCTTTGTAAAAATCCACTGACCCATTTTTGTAAAGTAAAAATAACCATGAGGTTTTTACTTGCATTGAAAATGTACAATTACAGTTCAATTATTATATTCATACAATACCATAAAAGCTATATTTTAAGTTGCACAACTGACCTTCTTTTCTATAATAATACAGATAGAGCCAACATTATAAGTAATTGTATTGTGGAACATTTTGAAAAGAAGAATCCTGTTGCTTTTCTCGCACAGAAACCAATTTGGATCTTTAATACTTCTTTGCATTTCCTTGCATATTTGTAAACATGACTTTAGTTGTTTTAACTTAAAGGAAAATATCTGACCACATTACTGATTGACAATGATATCTTGTTAGACAGCTGTACAGAGAAAAATAATAAACCCACACACTGTAAGAGATTTCCAGAGACAAAAAAAAAACCCAAACTTCCTTTGCAAAGAAGAATCAATACCTCTACAATCCCATCACAAACCCGAAGGTCCACTTCTGTTTCTGTGGCAAGAACTTGAGATGTTTAAGTTGAATTCACTTCACTCACCTGTGTGGCTTAGTTGGGATGTGCTTCTACTCCTTCGAGACACTATGGCGACCACTTTGGCACTCAGGCTCGACCTCCGTTTCTTTCCACCTGCTCCCACTGTACCCACGGCCGTGTCCGACTGACTGCCGTCATTATGCTCCAGTGTGTACATCTCTCCACTCACACTGGTGCTCTTCATGATGGCTCTTCCTGAAGTCCCCATCCGTCTGCCTTGCATTTTAGGGGTAAATGAACTATATTTACAAAGTAAAAACATATATGCATCCATAAATTACAGGTCAGCATAACTGAAATGCTAAATCTAATTTATTCTGAAATAATCCAGGCAGATTTTTAGGGGGAAAATTCACTTGAAAAGTAGTCCTACAGCTATGCATATTTTAAGATCACATCACTGACCCTAAATATTTACTAGATGTAGCTTATAACTGTATGACAGAGGAAGCTATAAACTCTCTCAAAGATAGTACAAGGAAATGCAACCAGTGCTGTCCATGGGAGGTACATGTTACTGGCCAATTTTGTAAATAGTTACTATGTTACTTTCAGAAAAACTAAAATATTTAAATAAATGAGACACTTTTATACATCTTTGAGGAAAAATTTTTGTTAAAAATGGATACTCTAAATCTGCTACATGACAAGTTTTAAAAAATGAAAGCATTATCTGTTCTAGTTTGTTTGGGATTTCAACAAATAGATACATCTTTGCTCTGGCTTAATGAGTCTAGGAAAGACTGCTAATAAAGCAAATAAAAAAAGAACAAAACCAAACCACCATGTCTTTCCCCCTTCTTTGTCCCTGACACTCCGTCTCCTCCACACAAACATCTCGTTTTCCTATTTCAACTCTTCAAATTCACCTGCTTTAGGCTGATACTTTCCTTTTCCATTTTGTTCTTTTCTATTAAAACATATTGTCTATGTTCCCAGATTGCATTAGTTTATCAGAATTATATTGCTGTACTTTTTCTCAAATGAATAAATTATGCTTGAGAATTTCATGAACCATGGAAGACTGATGGAAAAAACAAACACATCAACCAACCAACCAACCAACCAACCAAAAATCATCTCCACTTGCCAAAGTAAATGTATGTCTGTGAGTTACAGAGAGGAAGGGCAGGGAAGCAGGGGGCCAAGACGTCAGGATTCTTTGAACCTTTTAAATTAATGTTGCATATGCAGTCACATTATACATCTAGATGGGTTTTTACTTTCTTAATTTTGTTTTCTCAAAATATTGTAAAATTTGGCTTACATGACCCTTGCCACCAAGTAAATTTTCTATTTCTCGAGCTGATCTGCAAAATACATGATCTAACATAACGGCGTGTTTTAACAGTGATGCCATTTAATACAGAAGTGCAAATAAATCCTAATATGATTAGAAAAGATTAAATAAAATTTTATCTTGGGATCATGCAATATATTTGTGGTCACAAATATGAAGGGGGACCCCCAAAAACCTGTAAGTATCTCCTGGAGTGTGGACCCCTTGTGATACAGGCTTCTCCCACTAAGTCAGTGTTCTAGGATCCTATCTGTATCAGTGTGTAAGCTGGCATTATTGTGAGAGGCTAAATTCGGCTTCAGTGAATTTTTCTGAAAACTCTTGTACCATGTTAGCCCATTTCACGATGGGTGACTTATGAGCGCACCTGCCCACACTGCTGAGTGTTCAGTAGTTTTTGACCAAAATGGCATGACTCCATGTCCCACCCTCCCTATTCACCCAATCTTGCCCCAAGGGACTTTTTTGTTTCCCCGGGATGAAAAAATCCTCAAAGGGAAAACATTTTGCTAATGTGGAGGACTTGAAACAAAAAATTGCAGAAGCACTAAAAGGAATCAAAATCGATGAGTTCAAAAACTTGTGAGCAGGAGGAAAAAGTCTTGATAGATGTATTCATGAGATGGAAAGTACTTTGAAGATGACTGAAGTTTAAACATGTAAGAATAAATCCACAATTTTTGGTAAAGAAATTCCATTTTGGGGTCCCCCCTCATATAATGAATGTTTAAGGGGAACTGGTGTGGGATGAGTTCAGACAGGTGGGAGGGCAATATGACTAAGAAATTTTGTACAATGTTCTTTAGGTTATAAACAAGTTTAAAAGTATAGAAAAATATCTCCTATATTTTTATCATGAAAATTTATTCAAGAAGATTGAATAGGAAAATTCAGTAGTATTGTATGGATATTTAATCAAAGCAATGAAATATTCTGCAATGGTAAAAATTTGGAAAAAATAAAAGAAATCAGCAGAGTGAGTGATTACCATTTGGAGGGAGGCAAATTCAGAAGTTATGCTAAAAATAATTTTGTGAGTAAATATGATGCAATTTTCCCTCAAAAATAAACTACTTTGTTTAGAAGCATTCTTATATAATCTCAGGGTACTGCGTAGTTTCCTAAATACCCTAGCATACTATATGTTCAATGAGGACGTGCTGAGTCAGTTTTAATTCTTTTAAGTAATTGAAGGAAGAGATTTGGGGGGGGTCTAATTAGAATAATTTAATCAATGAGAAGGTCACATTTTTAGCAGATGAGAAATTTACAGCAGGCCCAATAAAGTGTTAGAACTGAAACCCCTGCATGGGCCAAGACCCTTAAGAACAAAGTAAAATGGAGGCCTCACTATAAGCCCTAACAGACCCTCACTAGTGACATCTCTAATTAATGTATTTCAGGGATACAGAGAATGTTCCCAAAATGAAGTTTTAAGACACACAAAGAAACTAGAAAGTATATGAATCAATCTAAAGCATTAAAAATATAACATTGAATAATGGGAGAAACAAAACAATACTTAATTAAACCCCTAGAAAAATAAAAAGATGGAGGGATGGTAAGAAAGCTAAAGTGTATGAGAGCAATATTTTTCCCTAGAAGAGAGTAGAGGTAATTATTAACTTTAACTTTATTATTTAATTAAATATATTTGAAACATTAACTTAGCCACTAAAATTATAGAAATAGCATAAAATAGTACAATTTCCAGAATAATTGAGGGGAGGAATGAAATAAAAACAATTCGATTAAAAACCAATCCAAAGAGAGAAAAAATAATAAAAATGAAAAATACTTTAAGACACTAGATGTAATTTCAAATATGTGAGAAATCAAAAAATGTAAATTGACTAGATAGCCAATAAATGATAAAGATTATCAGGATAAAAGAAACAAAACATGTTAAACCCTCTCCTATGCTGTTTATAAGTGACAGGATTAACACACATGGACACGCAAAGGTTGAAAGTAAAAGGATGTGAACAGTTAGAATGAACATTAAAAAACAATGTTGTCACATAAGACAAAATAGACTGTAAAGAAAAAAATTATTAGAGATAAGGAGATTCACAACATAATGATAAAAGGGTTAAATTATCGGGCTGTCAATTCTAGCTGTACTGCTTGCTTATGGGCCGTGTGACTTGAATAGGTTACTTCAATTTTCTCTTTATTTCTAAAATGAGATTAGTAACAATTACACTACAGGGCTGATACTGCATGTAAACCATCTATCAGAATACCTGGTACACAAAAAAGGTACTTACTAAATAAGAATTTTTTAATACATTGAAATGTGTATGTTACATAACTATGGCAAAATTATAAGTGATACATGAAATTGGTGAAATTTGGGAAGCAATGGTTTAAAGTGAAAGGATATTGTATTCATTCAAATAATAGAATAATTAAGCAAAGTGGGAGTAGAGTGAACATTTCTCAACATGATAAAGGCCATATATAAGAGACCTACAACCATCATCATACTCAACAGGCAAAAGTTAAAAGCTTTCCCACTAAGATCAGGAGCAAGGCAAGGATGTACGCTTTCACCACTTCTATTTAATACAGTATTGGAAATACTAGCCACAGTGATCATACAAGAAAGAGAAATAAAAGGCATCCAAATTGGAAGGGAGGAAGTAAAACTGTCACTTTTTGTCAATGACATGAGAGTGTACATAGAAAATCCTATAGATTCCACCAAAAAAACTACTGAACCTAATAAGCAAATTTAGCAAAACGGCAGGGTTCAAAGACAATATTTAGAAACCAAAGACATTTTTATACACCAACAATGAAAGATAAGAATCAGAAATCAGGAAAAAATACCATTTGCTATAGCAACAAGAAAAATAAAGTACCTAGGAATCAACCTTACCAAGGAGGTGAAAGACCTATACTCAGGAAACTATACAACACTGAAGAAAGAAATTAAAGAAGACAAAAATAAATGGAAGCATATACTGTGTTCATGGATTGGAAGAATTAACATCATCAAAATGTCCATATTACCCAAAGCCATTTAGAGATTCAATGCAATCCCCATTAAAATACCAATGACATATTTCACAGATATAGAACAAACATTTCAAAAATTTATACAGAACCATCAATGACCTTGAATAGCCACAGACATTTGGAGAAAGAAGACAAAGTTGGGGGGATCACAATCCTGATATCAAACTGTATTACAAGGCCACTATAATCAAAACAGTCTGGTACTGGCATAAAAACAGGCACATAGACCAATGGAACAGAACAGAGAGTCCAGAAATCAACCCAACTCTCTACAGTCAATTAATATTTGACAAAGGGGACAGCAGCATAAAATGGAGTAAAAATAGCCTCTTTAACAAATGGTGTTGGGAGATCTGGACAGCTACATGCAAAAAAAATGAAACTTGATCACCAACTTAAACCACACACAAAAATAAATTCAAAGTGGGTAAAAGACTTAAACATAAGCTGTGACACAATAAAAGTCCTAGAAGAGAACATTGTCAGAAAATCTCAGATATTCCACGCAGCAGTATTTTCACTGGTATCTTCCCTACAGCAAGGGACATAAAGGAAAGAATAAACAAATGGGACCTCATCAAAAATAAAAAGTTCCTGCATGGCTAAAGAAAATAGCATTAAAATGAAAAGAGAATCACTGTATAGGAAAACATATTTGCAAATGACATCTTGGACAAGGGTTTGAGCTCCAAAATATATGAGGAACTTACATGACTCCACTCTAGCAAGACAAACAAAACAATTACAAAATGGGCAAAGGATCTGAACAGACACTTCTCCATGGAGGACATACAGAGGGCTCAGAGACATATGAAAAGATGCTCAGCATCACTAGCCATCAGAGAGATGCAAATTAAAACCACAATGAGATACCACTTCACACTGGTGAAAATAGCCATCATAAACAAATCAACA